GTGTGATGTGTGTTGGGCGTCAGCCTATAATTAAAAGAGAAAAAAAACCCACAGGCCTAATGGCCAATAGCCCAGGCGGCCACTAACTCCCCATCATTACCTGTTGCAACGACAAGCTGCGAAAAAACATTTTTAGCTTTGAAGATAATCAAGAATGATCTTCGAAATCGGTTGAGTGACCAATTTATGAATGATTGTTTAGTTGTGTATATTGAAAAAGATTTTCTTTGCAGTATAAGTGATTAATGTATTTTAGAGACATTTCAGCAGATAAAAAGTCATCGTGATTCGTTGTAAATATGACATTGTGAACTTTATGAATTAATTTTTTTAAATTTCTACTTAATTTTTTTATTTAATTTAATTATTATTATTTTATTTTATCGGCGACACACCTCTCCGACAATCCTGGGTCCGCCACTGCCCTTAATGCTAATCACTACACATCTTCGATGATGAATCCCTCAACCATTATACCGATCGACAAACCACTCCCAATCGACGCAACCCTCCTGTGACCAACCCCTCCATCCGGCCAGAACTCTGCTCCTTCCCCTATTTTATTGATATGATTCTATCTGAAACCCAGAATCAGATATAAGGAAAAACTCAGTTTGCCCATAAAACCTAGAACCGACGAATCTGGAATCTAAAGGAACAAAGACGTTGGTCTGGCCTGGCGACGACGCTGTTGCCCTGAAGAAGAGAAGCGCGTATGGGGTCCAGCTCCTTCACAAAATCGATTGTGCTTCCAGAGAAGTTGAGAAGCACAACTGGGATATGATGGGTTGACGGTTCGTCGTTGCTCGGCTGCTCCCTCGCCGCCGCCGAGGCTTACACCTTCCGAGCAGGAGCTGGAGTGATGGTGCGAAAGTTCTCGGGTTTCAGATTTGACGGGAGAGTCTAGCTCGCTCATTTGAGCTAGGGGAACTGATTGCGATTGTTGTTGGTCGTTTTCAGCGAAACCAAAACAACCCAAGGAGGAAGAGGAGAAATTGTTGTTGACATCCCATGGCAACATCTTAAGGTGTGGAATTTGAGGAGTGTTTGGAAATTGGGTTCTCAGAAGCTGAAGAAAGGGAATAGCGGCGGTCGTGACGAATTAGATCCATAATTATCGACGGTCTGAAGCATATGAAGGAAAGGTTTGTCAGGTCGGAGAAAGCGGATTCGCGGAGATGTGGTGGTTGTAGCCTTCAAAATCAGCGAGAAGTCCACTGCCGTTGAAGGCTAGTAGTCGGAGAAAAAAAAAAGGGGATGAAGAGAGATGGAGAGGTAGTTGAGTGATTTTTAATCTCTTATGTTTTTGTTTTTTGTATTTTTTGTTAATCCACGTGTATTGGTGGGATAAATCATACCGTCAACTTACGCCGTTAACAAAATGGACGGAATTGACTATTTTGTTTTTTCGGATAGTTATGGCTATATTTGTCACAAATATGAAAGTTATTGCTATACAAGTGTATTTTGTCTATTAAAAATAAAAATACCAAACATGTACAAATTCTTTCAAACTTCCTGCCCTCCTATCAGTTTGTCTTTCGAGATTATGATCATTTGACCGCGTCTACAGTTCCTCTCTCATTCATTGAGGTTGTTACAGTAATAGACATCATCTGTTTCTAGAAGGGGAAAAAACCCCTACCACTATTATGCACATGTTTTGAAGTCAAGTTCTTAGCATCAACTTCCATTTTGTAAATCTTATTACTTTGATTATGTCAAATAATAATGAGAATAGTAGCCTCAAGAAAACGAAAATTGGACTATACGTTGCTGCATTTGTTTTCTTTAACCCACATAAACATGATTAGGATGACAACGGATGAGGTTGGTGACGGATAGTGCATATCCATCACTCTATCTAAAATAGTTCGAATTCTATACATATTTATGTATACACAAGAATCGAGTAGAAAATCAAAATCATCAATGACGATTGTGTTTTAGATATCCATGGTTATCAATGGGTAATCATTTCTCTTTATAAATCCAACTTACGTGTTAATATTCACACGTATACAGTCCTTGCATAAGTGACAAAGTACAACAATAAATCACTAGATATGAATTGAGTATACACTGAATATGAGTATACATCATATAACATGAATTGAGTAGACATTGAATATGAGTTAACATGATATTTTATGAGTTAACATCTGGATGAATATGACTTATCTTGGTAATATATATGAGTTAATTTCTGGATGAATATGAGTTGAACTAGTATCGAATATGAGGATTGGTATATTTGAGTTCAACTGACACCGAATACGAGAATACATGTTATAGAATATGAATGCGTAGACACTGAATATGAGTTAACCTAATATTTTATGAGTTAACATCTGAATGGATATGAGTTATCCTGGTATTATGTATGAGTAAATTTCTGGATGAATATGAGTTGACCTAGTATCGAATATGAGGATTGGTATATTTGAGTTCAACTGACACCGAATATGATAATACATGTTTTTGAATATGAGTTGAATAGACAATGAATATGAGTTAACTTGATATTATATATGAGTTAACCTGATATTATATACAAGTTTCAATATGAAATTAACTCGGATTCAACCATATGTAAGCTCATATTTAAATCCAAATAAACTTATATTCACTGTCAGTTCAAGTCATATTCAGTATCCAGTTTCTACTCAACTCATATATAATGTCAAGTATTCCAACAAAAATAAATGGACTTTTAGCCACAAAGTGACGATAAGAATTCAACCAAGAGCACAGTGTTCCAAGTATGAGTAGTAGCATGTTAGCACATTTACTGTTATGTTATTACAAAGGACTCTTAAAATGCCATCAAGTTGTACGTCTAGGGGAAACTCATATTATGTTCATAATTCTTACATTCACATCTTTGATACCTTGTCAACTCATATTTCTCACAATTTCAACTCAAATTCAAAGATCTTTGAGGCAGAATTCTGAAAATGATGAACCATTATTCATTCATCTTCGAGGTCATATTAAGTTAGATCACAAACTATATATGGAAGAATGCAGTTCTAGGTATAGTCAATTTTCAGCTGAACTTATATTCATCCATATATCAACTCATTTAATATCAGGTACATCCATATTCATTATTAACCAAACTCATATTCACTATCATGTTAACTCATATTCAGTATTTAATTAAACACATATTCTATACGGGTTCAACACAAATCCTATATATGTTGGACAACATTCCTCTCTTCTATAGGAAAACTGAGAAAGTGCATTGCAACTAACAATATAGTTCATTTCAATGGCTTATCCTCGCCGAGAAAGTGCATGGCAACTTAATTCTATTACACATACATTCTAGAGCATGATATTTAGCTGATACAAATATCTAAGAGTGACACAACTACAACAACATCTGGGAGTTTGGCCAACCATTTGTTGAGTGCACACGATGAGGCAAGATCTCCTTTTTTGCCACATCACGTTCGAGAACTTGAAATCTTCGTATATCATCTGCAGAAATCATTTCCCCATCCAAACCCACCTCGTCGGAAACCCATATTAAAAATGTCTTCTTTCATAAGAAAATCAGAGTATAAACTCATTATCTATTTGGAAGATGGAATCAAGAAAGTAGCTCATAAAGTATTCTATAGTTAGCAGTAGCACACCTTCACTACAAGATTCAACAAAATTAACTTCTTCCTTTCTTGCAATATGCTACAGTCGTTCACACATATTAAAGGCTCAAATGTTATTTCCTGGACAGAACCATAGCATCTGGGGATATTCAAAGACCAAACGTTAATCCAGAAAAATAAAAGAGCTCAAAACAAAGTTTTTCATTCATAAATAAACCAGTAATTTCTACATCCTGCGCAATCATGCTAAATAGGCAATTCAACTGTAACTTCCCTAACCAGTGCATACAACCATCAAAATCGGTATCCATGTTTAACACAAATGCTCCATTAGCAATCGGCTGAACCAGTTGAGCCATGGAGATCTTATTAGCCGACAAAAACAAGATAGAAGGAATATCAGCTATAAAAAATCAAAGGAGGAGTTGTTCTACTCCATTTATGTCAATCTCTAGGTGCATATGAATCTCATGAAGCACATACTGATAAAAAGTCAAAGTAGAAACAAAGAACAACAAGGATAACCAAAACAATTAATTCACATATAAAAAACCACCAATTACAAACTCAAAATCGGTACACACATGATCTCCCACATGTTTTTCTTGTGCTCTCGGTCGTCATACTTGTCGGAAGAAGTAGGGAGACCAGGTTTGGAACCAATCTTTCTCCTCTCCCTCGTCGCCGTACCCTTGTCCATCGTCGTTGACTATGAATCCCTAGGCTTCTTATTTCTGGAGAAGCGACGAGCTTGAAGTTGTATCCTATTTAACTCTTTGATCTCCAGCTACCACGATGTACTCTTCATCTCTCATTTCTCTCTTGGAGACTAGGGTTTTGTAGTGACAGAGAGGTTGGGGCGAAGAAGAGATCTAGAGGGAAGGAGAGGAAGGAGGTGGACTCGGGGAGAGAGGACGAATTGAAATGAGAAAAGATGAGTGAAAAGTTTTCGGTGGTCCCTCTCCTTCGGCTTAGCCAGCTAGCCGACTCAGTTTTTCATTTCAGGGCAAATCAAGCCATTTCTCAAGCCAACAAATCACGACTGTCCGTTTTGTTTTTTGTTGATGTGGTCGAATCCTGGCCCTATAAGTATTTCCTCATGAATTTGGCTGTTAGCACAATCGCCGGATTTGTTTGCTAGGGTTTCTTCTGTCAAGCCCGTTTGTCTTATGAGCTTTGCTCTTCATTTTGTGGTTTCAAGCCCGTTGTGTGTAGGGTTTATCTTTTCATAAATTTGGTTTGACTTGGCCCTTTTCCAAGTGGTTTGCTTCCTTTCATGGTGTCTATGGCCCAAAATCTGTACACTTATTTGAATTTCCAAGTTAAAAAAAAAAGACAAAAAAGGGGAAAATAGGAGTATTGTAATATAATATCCTTGGGCCAGTCCAATAAGGCAAATAAATCAAAGCCCAGACAAAAAATAATATGGCACGAGGCTGCTTTCACTCTGTCAGTCAGAGTCAGCGCATGATAATAGTAAAAAGAAGATCGAGGGTGAAGATTAGAAAGGAAACTGTAGAGTTGGTCTAAGCTGAGGTGTTAGTAAGGACTAAGGAGAGCAAGAGAAAGTGACTGCCCTACCGATTCGGTTATTAGCTTACCAGTACCACTACTCTCCGGCCGCCGGTCGAATCCAATCCAATCCAGTCCAGGTAGTAACCGAGGGAGTGGGAAGGTCGACAGTCAAAGTCAAAGAGAGTGAAGAGTGGAGGAGAGGATAGTGTCGATTATTGACACGTAACCTAAAATCTCGCCTTTCGGGGTTTCTATTTCCCTTCTTTGATTCAATTATAGAGGATGAGAGTTGCAGTTTCAGTGGGAGTGTCAACACCACCGGTCGCAACCATGAGGTCCTCCTGTACCAGAAGAATCATGGCGGTTTCTTACCGCTTCGTCTCAATGCACATGGCTGCGGCTCCTCTTTCTCGCACTGTATGAACTCTCTGAACCCAGATTTCCTTTCCCATTCCTACCCTTCAACTCCGCCTCCAGATCTCAATCTCTACCGTCTCTCTGTTTGTTTGTTTGCCTGCTTGTGGCAGCTGAGTACGGAGAGTGTTGCCGCCCGCCTCACCAGCGCCGGCCTCCTGCGCACCAAGGGCCTCATCGGACCCAATTGGATTGATGCCCGTGATGGCAAAACCATGCCCGTATGTCCCTCCGATCACCGCTCCTTCCCCATGCTGATCATCTCTCCGCCTCTGCCCTCTTTTTTGAAATTTGCCGCTGCCGTATTCACTCACCGCTCGCGCTTCTCATCTTGTTGTTGTTGTTGTTGTTGTTGTTGTTGTTGTTGTTGTTGTTGCGTGATGATTGTCAGGTTCACAATCCGTCGACCGGTGAAGTGATCGCGGATGTTCCATTCATGGGAAGCAAAGACACCGAAGATGCTATCTCCTCTGCCTACGATGCCTTCCCTGGTAAAATCCCCGTCCATTCCCTATGCCTTCCAACCTTCATATTTCTTGGATGCTTTCTTCATTGCTGCTAATGCGACTTCCATGTGCAGCTTGGAGCAAGCTCACCGCCACTGAAAGGAGCCAACTTTTGCGCAAATGGTAACCATCTGTTCGATCTCTTTAATTCCCTTATTTGCCTAAAATCGTTAGAATCGTGGTATGTTCATGTCTAACCATTCCAGCCTCCTCCTTGCTTATCCTTAGGTACGACCTACTCATGGCCAACAAAGAAGAGATTGGGCAGCTAATTACCTTGGAGCAAGGCAAGCCTCTCAAAGAAGCCATTGGCGAGGTATGCCATTCACCCCACCCACCTCTTTCCTCTTTCAGGATTTGCACCTTGGCTTTGTTCAATCATCAGTCACCCAGATTATCCAAAATATGTGATCCTAGAGCTTTAACTAATGACAGGTCAATTACGGAGCCAGTTTCATCGAGTACTTTGCCGAGGAAGCAAAACGTGTATACGGAGACATAATCCCACCAACACTTAATGATCGTCGCATTCTAGTCCTTAAGCAGGTGACATTAATTATTTCGTTGATACAGTATATTGTGTTTATGCGCCACTTCTATTCTTGTTCTACAAAACTGATTTTAGTGCTATGCTGCTTCCGCATGTTTCTTGGAACTTCCTGTGTCTAGATTTTTATAAACTGTGTCTGTTCATCCTCAAACTGCAAGGATTGACTCGTGTTCTTTTCCTGCCAGCCTGTTGGTGTTATTGCAGCAATTACTCCTTGGAACTTCCCTTTGGCTATGATTACTAGGAAGGTATGCTTACTCAGACTTTATGGCCCGCAGAGAACAATTCCAAGACCAGAAACTTCCGGATCACAATTGACTTCAAATTCTTTCTATACTCAGGTTGGTCCTGCTCTTGCATGTGGCTGCACAGCAGTGATTAAGCCTTCTGAACTAACACCTTTCACAGCCTTAGCAGCAGTTGAGCTGGCTCTTCAGGCTGGAATTCCCCCGGTACGTTTTTCAAGTAGTTACCATGGAAATTTAATGTATTTCTACACAAGGTAGGGCACGAAGGGGTAGACAGTAGTTTCTCAAAATATTTGTGGTACCCCAAAAGTAACCAAATATACCCAGTGTACAACCCTACATTTCAGAACAGCATCTTCATGCAATATGACAATACACCTTTTGCTTGTCTGACAAAACCTTCCACTTGATTTTTCGTAGTTTCTTAAGATAAAGTAGACAGCTCCCTTCTATTTAATCTTCAGTCAATTTTGTTTATTCTGTATATGGAGATGCAATGGAATATCAATGGTGCAGGATCTCTGTTCTTGATTTGAATAAAACTTCATAACTCTGCTCATTAATTTGTTTATAATGGCACTCTTTAATTGCCCTAGGGTGTCCTTAATGTTGTTATGGGAGATGCTCCTGCTATTGGAGATGCGCTGATGGCCAGCACTCGGGTATTGCTCCTTAGTATGGTTATCCTCTGACTGTTTGAATTGTCTTGCAACTGATTATAGAGGTGACTCACTATTCTGTTGTTGTTTTGATTGCATCACCCAGGTTAGAAAGATCACATTCACTGGGTCAACAGCTGTGGGAAAGAAGTTGATGGCAGGTGCTGCTGGGACTGTCAAAAAGGTAAAAGCTTGGAATAATTGAACTTTATTTTTTCTGAGTCATGGTAGTTATTTAATCCCGGTTGTCCTTCTGCCTTACTCTCTTAGGTCTCTTTGGAACTTGGTGGTAATGCACCCTGTATAATATTTGATGATGCGGACCTGGATGTTGCTGTTAAAGGAACTGTAAGTCTCCAGAGTTTCTGTTTGGGCATAAAGATGGGGGCTGATTGTCCTCACCCATATCTTACCAGCATTGGTTTCTATATTTCCAGTGCCGTCATTTGTTGTCATTGGCGGACCCAGGTGAGGGGGAGGTGTGTCAAGCAACACACCTCTGCCCAAAATTTCAGTTAAAAGATAAATATTTCCTCATTACAAAAACTTGAAACCATGGTATCTGACACACCTTTGAAATTTTTAATTGACACATCTATTGACTATAGTGGCTACTAGCTGTGGAATAGCTTTTTTTACTATGAAGTTACTCATTAACAATTTTTTGAAATCGGATTAGTGGCCAATTTATCAATGATTGTTTGGTTGTACACATTGAAAAAGATTTGAGTTGGAAAATAAACAATAATATATTTCACCAACCTTTCATAATATAAAAAGTCATCGCGTCTCACAGTGAATACAATGCAATTGTGTACTCTATTATTTATTTTATTTTTGTCGACACACCTATTAAAAATTCTGGGTCCACCATTGTCTGTTGTCCTCTTTCATTCTTGATCTCGTAGTTCTCATCTTGATGTGAATATAACTATGTATAACTTTGCAGCTTGGATCAAAGTTCCGCAACAGTGGGCAAACATGTGTTTGTGCGAATAGAATACTTGTACAAGATGGTACTACTAGATAATTTCTATGGCTTTTTTATTGGTTACTGGTTCTTTTCTTTTTCACCAATCTGCTGCTCCTTTTGCTTTGTTCTAATTTAGTATATACCCTTTTTGCAGGTATCTATGATAAATTTGCTGCTGCTTTCTCCAAAGCTGTTCAGAATTTGCAAGTTGGTGATGGTTTTAGTGAAGGTGCAACCCAGGTATGCCTTCATCGCTGTGGCATGTTTAGCAAATGTTATGAGTCTGCTATCAGTGTGCTACTGATATTCTTGCTTTGCTCACCTGCTGAAAGCTGTTAGAGGTGTCATTTACTGAGTTGCTCTAACAGGCCACTAAACAATGGCACACTTTTACTGTTTACAGCACCTATACTTCTGTACAATGTTTCTTTGGTTGGTGAAGATCACAAATAAGTAGTGACACAAGGTTCATAAAGCAAGTCTCACAATAGTTCAGCTTTAATTATATTAGATACTGATCTATGTGTTGCTACATTTCTGACAGGGTCCACTGATTAATGATGCTGCAATACAAAAGGTTACTCTCCTTTTGATATATATTGTTTCCTCGCTGTCTTGGTTATCTGATAGCTTAATTGGTGTGCTATTCCCTTTGGTCTTGTTATGACGTGGACAGGTTGAATCATTTGTACAAGATGCCGTCTCAAAGGTTTGCCTTGTTGAACTTTTGTCTTATCTCACTATCTCCATCATCTGTTTGTTTGTTTTTCCTTTTTGAAGTAAGCATCAGTTGTTTATCTATAAGCTGTTTATACACTTTATATTTGGAAAATAGATATAATTTATCATGTCATTGAGGTCGGAATGCCTGCAAATGATACAGGGAAGGATTTGAACTGAGTTTTTGGTGCTCAATTAACTAATTGCTTGTTCTCTTAGCTTCAATATCAACTTCCCTTGTTCCAGTCAAAGTGAGACTAAAGTGGTTTCGATATAATCTGGACACCCTAAATAGGAACGTGACGACAGGAGCGAAACAAGCTACTACTATATTACTTAGATAGTGAAGTTGCCAACTTAAGAATGTGCAAAATGTTGGTACTTTATAAAAATAAAAAGTGCCAAATGTTGGTAAACAATGAGAAAATGCTGCATATAGTTAAGCTATCTACTAGTGCTATAATTAAACTCTGTGATCCATGGTACCCTTAAGTTTCACATTCCAATAGCTCTAGCTGTATTTCAGTGGGTTGCTTAGACACTTGTATTATCTTTCCCCACATAGCCTTTGGTGCTTGGAGAAGATGGCCTTTAGACTAGAGGCCAACTGGACAGCAAAGCGTCCTTTTCAATTTCACCTGTTATACGCCTTTAGATGGCTTAGGATACTGTAGTTGATATCTGAAACTGATTTTGCTGTATCATTTTTAATTTGTTATAATTGAAGGGAGCAGATGTTCTTCTTGGTGGCAAAAGGCATAGCCTTGGGAGGACATTCTATGAACCAACTGTACTGGGAAATATCAGTAGTGACATGATTGTCTCGAGGTGAAATATAGCCACATTGTTATTACAGTAGCATACCACCATGTCGCACCATAGAGGTAGTTTTTTTCTTCTCTTATACACTTATTTATGTATACATGTCTTGACTTTCCCTCAGAGAGGAAGTATTTGGACCAGTGGCCCCGCTGATGCGGTTCAAAACAGAGGAGGAAGCTATTAGCATTGCTAATGACACCAATGCAGGTTCGATAAGTAGCATCCCTTTTGGGTCTCGATTAGATAAAGAGCTACATCTGCATTAGTGAGTGATGCGAATTGCGTAGGTGTGGCAATGACCAAGACATCTCAAAATGTCTTATGGAATGACATTATTATAGCATTTCTTGTTTGGGGTTGGAAAATGTAGGATTGGCTGCATATATATTTACAACGAATGTTCAACGATCATGGCGTGTTACCGAAGCTCTCGAGTATGGACTTGTTGGTGTTAATGAAGGAGTAATTTCGACAGAGGTAAGGCATCATCTACACATTTGTTTGTTTTTCATTGGGCTTCTGTCAATGAAATAACAATGGTAGATAATGGGGGGTGTGATGGTCAGTGCGGAGTTGATTGTTGTGTGGGAGTGTATGTAGGTTGCTCCATTTGGAGGAGTGAAACAGTCTGGTCTTGGGCGGGAAGGTTCCAAGTATGGGATGGACGAATATCTGGAGGTATGTTCTCTACTCTTTTCCCCTCAAGTACATGATGGGCGAATATCTGGACTTTGAAACTTACTTGCATGTCCACGTGGTCACTTGAAGTATAGTTAGTAAAATACGGTACGGGAAAGGACACCCCTATGTAGAATTTCTGGATCCGCCACTGTTTACATGTATAAAGAGAATGATTGTTCTGTTTCTGTTTGTTATGCCCATGCATGCATGCCGGTATTCATGCCCTCTTCTTTTTCTTTTGAGGTTTCGGTTTTGACAAAAGGTTGGACGTAGTGCTTGAAATGGCAAGAGCTGGGAAAATAGTTGGGGGGGACTAGCCATTTTCCTACCTTTTTTTCTTCTAATGTTTGTCTTGTGTGCAGATGAAATATGTGTGCTTGGGAGATATGAACAGGAAATGATTGCACCCACCATCCTTCAAAGGAAGGGAGCAGTTGGAATGTGGGTTGTGGAAGCAGCCAATATCAACCCGAAGGCAGCTTTGCATTTTCGGTCAAGGTCCGGGAGAGTGAGAAACTGCATGTTGTTTGAAGCTTAAGCCAGCCTTGTGATTTATCTTTTGGTCTTTTGTCTTTTTGGGTTGTCTTTCGGTCTGTGTAGGAGACAATGAACACAAGTTTGTTGGAGCCTGGAGGCCTTGGCCTGTGTGAAATAAGTAGGACTAGGCAAACCTCTTCTTCTAGTCTTAGCCAGCCTCTTTTCCGATTGAGGGACAACAGGGTACCCGAAACTTTGCGTTGGTTAGGTCGTTTGGTCTCTTATCTTACCGGCGAGGTTTATTGAATGGGCTTGGGATGCTGCTCGTTAAATTGTGCTACGATATATGCGCTTGTCTCGTCTGTTGGAGTGGGCCTCTAAAGTGTAACCATCACATATTTGAATGGATCAACTTGTTTTTATTTCAAGGCACCCGAGCTATTTTATCCAACCTCACTCACTTCTTGCCAAAATTCAGGAAACCGTACTAGAGGTTATATCGGGAAAATGAGTGGTAGGGTATTTTATATTAAAATTGTGATAAACAGTTTTCAACTGCTAAAATTGCCTACCGTTTTAGGTCTGATATCTGATATTTACGGTCCAACTGGTCGGTACGGTAGGGTTTCCTAATCCTTGCTTCTTGCACAAAACAAAACATATAATAGCATTAACCAAGGATGTGAACCGCTGGCCCGGTCGAGTAAGTGGGTTGAGGATTACTGGTCCGACCGGTTAGTCCGGTTTAGTTGAGATATATGAAAAACGTCGTTATATTACTTTTACTATATCAAATCTCATCTAACATATGAGCAATGTCATATAACATTACACCAAAATAACATGTCTTACTTGGATCCAACATATAATAAAAATTCACACACACTTATATAACATCAATACTCAAATGTCTTACTTTGTAAACCAAAAGATAAAAATAAAAATTCAAATGTTCACATTAGATTTTTTTTTTAAAAAGCTAGGCGAAGAGGAAAACTGAAAAGAGGCATATTTTGCAAATCAAAGAGAAAAACGATGGCGTGTGACCTACAACTAGGGGTGGCTATACGGTCCGGTCCGGTTAAATTGGCCCAAATTGATCCGGTCCAGTCCGGTTTTTTTGAAAATATAAGGACCGAAGATTGGATTGGATACAGTCCGGTCTTGATCCGGTCCGGTCTTGACCCGGTCCGGTCCCAATTCGGTCTTGATTTTATATTGAGATTGTGGGAATTTGAGTGGCCTAAGGCCTAAAAGGGTGAGGAGTTGATTAAGTTTTGTACTAAGTGCAAAGGTTTGTGACCGTTTATGCAAATTATCCTTAAGTTTTGGGTGTTGAGCTCTCTTATCCGGTCTTTATCCGGTTTTTTACCTCAAATCTAAGCCCAAAGATTGGATTGTTTACTATCCGGTCCCGGTCCGGGTTATACGGTCCGGTTTTCGGTTTTTCATCCGGTCCCGGTCCAAATAGCCAGCCCTACCTACAACCCTGTAATCTTGTAGTGGATCGATCTGTCGGTGTGTGTGACCCATTTCACTCACTATATTAGAGTCAAACCGGGTCAACTGGCAGGTCAAACGACGAGTTGAAAACCTTGGTATTAACAGACCGTTTATAGAAAAATTAACCTTGTACCACATTGCTTAAATACAATGGATTAAATGGCTTTATACGACCAACTTAATTATAACAACTAAAATCGATTAAAATGAGCCATATGAGTTGAGTTATTGGGCCTATGACACCCATTTCAGCACACATGCACACTAGACCTACACTCCAAAATTTGGATAAGGTTGGAGGGTGTGACGATGAGCCTCCCTAATGCGATTGGGCGTGTGTGATCAGCATATCCCCTAGTGCAATAAGATGAGGAAAAAAATACCCACCTCGGTGTGGCAAGTTGAGGGATGTGTGAGAGATGGATGGCAATGTAGTATCCTGTCTAAAGCACCCCTCCTTGTATGATTAGGAAGGTAATCAATATACCCCTTGTTCTATAAGGTGAGGTGAAATATGACCAACCTTGGAGTACACACTTTGTGGCAAGGTGAGGTTTGGCGATGGGGTACGGTCATCAACATACTTCTCCTGGTGTGATGTGAAGGGGGGGGGGGGGGGGTTGCCAATAACTTGATGCAGAATCTGAGCGACAATCTAAAACTGGAGGATACTCTTAGAGCATGATCCATGAGGTATTGTGACCTTTCTCAACCAAGCCTCTTTAGTTCATAAACGGGAGACCTTTGATCTTCTTGATGGGGAGAAGAAGAGAGTGTATGTTGGTCTTGATGTGTTGGGGACCACAACCTAAAAAATGGTTCCTTATATACTAGTTTACCAAGGCTCCCATAAAATCTTAGTAAGTAAGTATTGGGTTTCCATCCAAGTAGTCTTGCAATCCAAGTAGTCAGTCTTGTAGTGTGACTAACAGTCTAAGTACCTCCTTAGTAAGATGGGGAGGGAGATTGACATACCCTTAGGTTGATAAGGGGATGGTATCAAGTGCCAAGTGGAGAACTCCTACTGCTATCATGGTCATAAGTGGTGAATTATTTTTTGTCATTTTAGCACATATGATTCGAATATCCAGCCATATGTAACAAGGAGAGTCTTGCCTTAACCCTCTTCCTCATCCGACATGCAAACTACTAAATAAGTACTAAATGGAGGGGGGTTAAGACTAAAGAGAGTGACACATCCAATGTCAAGGCATTGTTAGGGTAGTTGAGAGGGTAACCGATCACTTCACATTAGTTGATGAGCTTTTCAAGGTAGTTATTTATGATAGCTATAATTAGAAAGTGAAGATGACGGAGCAAAGGTTTGTCAAATTCACACTAAACAATTCAATGTCAAACTTTATCTTTTTATATTTTCTTCTACAATTCTAGCCATAGTTGTTGTTCTAGAGCTTCATTGAACCTTAATGAAAGTATAATTTAATTTAACTTTGTCGTAAATCATAACAAACATCGAATACTCTTATTTGAACTGTATTTTTGGTAAGAAGTCAAAAGTGTAAATCAATTATGTTTCACTAAGATTTTGGCCGAAAGAGATACCATAAGAGATAGCCATAGTCGCCTATCCATCAATGGCTATTCGCCCATTCCTAATATCTTGCTAGCTAGAGAGGGAGGGAGGGGGGAGAGAGTGGAAAAGATCAAAGAATGGAGGGGTCGGAACAGAAAGAAAAGTAAGAATGGTTGGACTGGACATCACATAAAGATGGTGCTTCTACGGGTCCCTCTCCCTCCATTTAACTTCACCTTGCTGCTGAGGAATATATTCATTCTTTGGCGGAGGAATATATTCATTTGGGGGAAAAGGTGCTTGGTCTTCAAGCTAACTTCTAACGTGGCTTCTTTTATTTCAAAGCCCATTAAAGTAACAAACTTAATACCCCTTTTCCTAACTAACCTATACAATAGCGTACATACTAAGAGTTAAACCACAACTTTTGCTAATTATTATTTTATCTCCTAATTAATTAAAATTCCCCTCATCATATATATATATATATATATATATATATATATATATATATATATATATATATATACACAAATAAATTAATGCGGGAAGGGAAATTAAATATGGCATAAAAACATTATACAGCATGCACAAGGACGGGGTAGCATAACAGCATCTCTTTTTTGCTCGCTCAACTCAATCACAAGTGGATCGAGAAGTTGCAAAAGCCAAAATACATAAAGTTGCTAATAATTACATGCATCATGTGGATGTTACGCTGTGGCTGTGCTACTACTTACTTACTTAGGTCCGCTAGCCTATCATTCATGGGTGCGTAATTTATTAATTAACTCAACTTATAAATAAATAGAAATATAAAATAATATTGAAATAAATCAGCTTTGGAAATTTTACTGATCAATAAGTTGCGGGAAGTAGGGCTGCCTCTCCAATCAGCTGCCCGGGTTTCCCCACTTGGAGCGCATGCATGCAGATTTCCGCGTCGCCGGACGGACGGTCGGGGACATTTATGTATATTAACTGCTATATATATATGTATGTATATGGCGTCAAAGTAATTTTAGAAATATTAATAAAAGAAGTAAGTTTAGAAAGAAAGATTTGGTGATCATTCAAAGTATCATTGGAACAAATTCAAACTAACTGGACTGGATTGATGAGCCTGAAATGCTATATATAAAGATCGATCATTGCCCACCCTTTTCCAAACGTTAAGATTGCATTTGGCTAGCTGTTGGAGTTTAATTATTAAAACTATATGCATCAGACGATATGATATCTTGGGTACTTCTAATAAAATATTTATTATATACTATAAATTAAATCGAATTTGTAGTATGATAATATTTCATAACTTCTAACAAATAAGTATGAAGTTCTGATTTATTAAATCCAAACTCTAATATAAATTTAATAAAAAATAATAATTGACAATTTTAATAATTTTGAAATAGGACGTAATATATATATATATATATATATCCAATAATCAGATGTGTAAGCGAGAAGTTACCATATATATATATATAGAGAGAGAGAGGTGTTGGGCCGCGCCGGGGAGGGTTGGATTGGAATGGAATGGTGGGACGAATCTTACTTTGATTGTGAAAGAAGAAAGCATATATTCCCCTCTCGATCGATCGGCCGACCGCTTGGGTATTAATTAAACAATAATTCTACAATGTTTTTCTAACTAATTCTCCCACGCACAAGCTCTTCAATTACATTATTATTACTACTTAATGTTTTTAGTTTTATGAGTAATAATATGTCATAGTTGTTATAAGTTGACGCAGATTTAGGAACGTAAATCATATCACTAATCACTACTCACTCAGTAGTCTAAAAAAAAAAAAAAAGGAAGATGTGATCAATAAAGATGAATATAACTAGTAAGCTATAGACTATAGTTGTGCTTAAAATGTTTGGCAGCATTAAGTAGGTAGCCCTGGATCTCATCTCTAGTGAATGCATGGAATGGGCACATGGTGCATGGGTTATTATTTTTGTGGAGATTTTTTGGAATTGGTAAGGGGGTTTTACGAGGTTGATATATTATTTATGTGATACTTCCAAAACGAGATATACATTAAGAATCGTAGCAGAAAGTAAAATGATGGAAGACGGGGGAATGCCAATGCATGCCTTGGAGCGAGCGAGCGAGCGAGCGAGTACTCACTCACTGGCACTGCACTGGTGTGGTGTCTATCTATCTAGCGCATAGTCAGTCGTCATAGGGTACGGGACAATCTTCAGTTCCACAAAAGGGAAAAAGACAGACAGAGACAGACCTGTAACCTCTCTCTCCGCCCCCATACATTAATGATCCCTTCTGCAGCATGCTTTCTTTTCTTTTCTTTCCTTTCCTTTTCTTTTGCCTCTTCTCTTCTCTTCTCTTCTCCCTTCTTTTTTCTTCTTTAATTTGATGTTACTTTTTACTTTGGTGGTGTAGCTAAATGCTAAGATGATCTCCTGACCACTATATGCCTGCCTGCCTGCCTGCCTACTACTCATGTCTTCTAGCTACTTGCACGTCTTTTTGGGTGGGAAAAGGGCAAGGGGGCTCATGGAGTGCATGGCTTGGCTGCTAATTAGATAATTTCAACATGTATAGCTCGATCTCGCTCTCTCTTACTCTCACCATAGCAGCTAGTGCGCAAGTAACAACAAGAAACCATCATCCTAGTAAGTAACTCATGCATGTTGATGAGCACAACCAGGCCCGGCCCTAAAAGGAGAACACATCATTCTTTATTTATTGATTTATCAATTCGTAGCTGCTAGCATGCACCCTTCTGCCTGCCTTTTGTTTTTGTTGTATAGTTTAGTTTGTGGGTTTCTGTTCCCTTTCTTTCTTTCTATCTCCCTCCCCTCCTTTTGATTTCCCTTTAGCAGTAAGTAATATACGAATTCTACATATACCATTTTCTTCAGGGAAAGGAAAAGAAAAGGCAGAGAAATAAAAGAAGCTCAAAAGATAACTACTCCCAAAAAACTAATCGGCTTAATTAATTAGCATGTTAATTAATGCTTACTAAGTTTTGTATCACAACAAAAAAGGCAGGATGGGTAACTCCATGTGTTTGGTCTGTTAATACTGATAATTAATAATTTGATTAAGCTATCTATAATTTGTTATAAAAACCATAATGTGCTAATTAATCCATCCATGAGAACCCCAAGTAATCAGCCTTATAATAATCGAGGAGATTAACATTCCAATAATAAGAAAACGTTCATGGAATTAACTAGAACTTTTTTATTTGATAACCCAAGGAACATCAGCCCCACGTGCCTCTTGAGCGACAGCGGGGCCTACTAAACCACTGGGGGTACCTGCATACTAACCAGGGCTTTCTGCTACCAACATCGGGGAGGCTTCGCCTCCGATACCAAGGGTGCCGTCGGAAACGCTCAAGTGGCGCCACTGGGAATCAACTAGAACTCACTCATTAGTACTACACTAAATACTATATATACTGCTTGTTTGGTTTAAGGTTTAATTGATTAATTGATTAATTAATGGTGTATATATGGTAATGAATTTATAATTTTGTTTTTGCATATCTAGGGCATTTGGTCGTACTTGCTTGTTGAAAAGCGACCCCACCATAATAATAAAGACTTTTTATATGAATTGCAATTTGCACTCTCTCTTGCATGTCCGTCTTATTAAGGAGGCAAGAGTGAATATCGCATTTGTTCCTGAATCTCTCTCGATCGGAGCCAGCCAGGGCCGGGGCTGCGCAACCCAAGAAGAGGAGAGAGAGAGAGAGAGAGAGAGAGAGAGGAGAAGAGAGAGAAGTAGAATGTTCCATGGTCATGTGAAGAAACCCTCGACAACAGCAACATCCAGCAGTCACAATACCAACAGCGGCAGTAACGGCGGGATGATGATGAATTCTTCTTCGCAGCAGCAGCACCATCATCATCATCATCACAATCAACACAGTCATCACCTTCATGATCATAGGTCGGGGGGAGGCGGGGGGATGTCGTCATCATCTTCAGGGGCAGGGGGAGGGTGCCATGTAGTTCAGCAGCAGCAGGGTGACTCGGGCCTGGTTCTCACCACCGACCCGAAGCCCCGACTCCGATGGACGGTGGAGCTCCATGAGCGCTTCGTTGACGCAGTCACCCAGCTCGGAGGCCCCGACAGTACCACTCTTTCATCCCATCCCTTTTCTGCCTTGCTTTTCTTCTTTTTATTCAATTTCTAGCTTACTCATGAATTATATATATGTGACGATGATGATGTTAACTTGGTTTGCAGAGGCGACTCCTAAGACGATCATGAGGGTCATGGGTGTGAAGGGCCTTACCCTTTATCATCTCAAAAGCCATCTTCAGGTACGTACGTTCCTTTCCTTGATTATTCTCCCTTCTAACTCCCCCTCTATTTTCCTTCCTTCCTTCCTTCCTTTCTTTCTTTTTCATCTTTGCTTCCTGTCAAAGTTTTCGGGACATTTTTCTTCACATATATTTATGGAATTAGAATTTTATATACTACTGATTCGAGTATAAGAATTTTAGCCCCTAATTTTGGATTTTTACTTTACCACTTTGGTTTCATGTACTACTGATTCTGTCATGTGTTGAATTATATTCTTCATGAGCGCGCGGTCGATTACTATTTTTCAGTTTGACAAGATTTCCTGAAACTAATTCCATTGATTTCATATGATGATTGGTGGGTGTCTTCGTGCAGAAATTTAGGCTTGGGAAGCAACCTCACAAGGAGCTCAATGATCATTCTATGAAGGATGGTCAGTCCTATACATAACCTAAATGTCTTAGCCACGTATAATCTTAATTAAACATATCCATGCATATTTAATTAATTTTGTGCATAATTATTAATCCTAATTAATTTCCGTGCTATAATATGCACATGCATGCAGCAGCTTCCGCATTAGATCTTCAACGAAATTTACCTTCTTCATCTGGAATGATGGGCCGTAGTATGAACGAGTAAGTGATACTATCAAAACATTATTGTTTATTTAATTATGAAAATAATTATCTGAGAGAAACCTCTGAAAAAGAAGTTCTTACAATGATCAACTTCATGTTTTAAATATTTAAGTAGCTCAAGCCTACTCAATTATGCATGATCATCAAAAAGGGTGTTGATGATGATGATCCTGATTGTAGAAAGTATCTGAGATCTGGATTTTACTTCCTTCCTTTTCTTTTTGTGGGGGATTGGGGGATTGGGTTTTATTCTTAAACTTTTCTCTCCTTCTGTTGGTTGGCGATGCATATGAACAATAGTAACTCAAACGTGGTTGATGGGATTAGGATGCAAATGGAAGTCCAGAGACGACTGCATGAACAATTGGAGGTACTTAATTAACTCTCCTCCCTCCCCATAATTTGATACAAATAATACATCCCCAAGTGATTAACCTTCTATTTAGTTAGTTAGTCAGTTAAATGGACATGCTACTTAACTAATTAAAAAATATATATAGTGATATTTGGAAGCGGCAAAAAAGACAAAGAAGAAGAAGAAGAAAAGGATGTTAGAGAATGTAAGGCAAATGAATATTGGTGCATGTGATCAAAATGTGGTTAATGTAAATATATGGTGCAGGTACAAAGACACCTGCAATTGAGGATAGAGGCGCAAGGGAAATACATGCAAAGCATGCTGGAGAAAGCCTGTCAGACCCTGGCCGCCGGCGAACATCATCAGCCCTACAGTAACCCAACAACGACGGCCAAAGCAACAAGTGGCGGTGTTGGGCCAGCCGGCATTCACGGGGATCCTCATGATCATCTCCACCACCAACATCACTTGCACAATAGTAATAACACCAACAGCATTAATGCTGAGATGGTGGTGGGAATGAAGGACATAGGACAAGCAGCAGCGCTCAACTTTCCGTCAGTGCAAGACCTCAACATCTACGGCACCAGCATTGATCCAACAGCCTTGCCATTGCCCTTAATGATGCACTCGTCCAACGTACCCAACAGCGTACATGTCGACGCTGCTGCACTTTCCCTTGGCTCCAACAACAAGCGCCACAACCCTTACACCAACAGTAAGAGCGGGTCGTCATTGATGATGTGGTCGTCGGCGGAGGATCTCCGGTTGCAAGAACCGGCGGCGGTCGGGAATTGCGGGCAGAAGCAGAAGCAGCAGCAGCAGGCCGGCGGTGCAACGGACGAGGAGGAGGAGGAGGAGGAGGATTGTGATGTTGACGACGATGAGGATCAGATTCAGATGCATGATCAAGTGCAGATTCACATGAACAATCATCATCATCTACAGGATTCATTGTACGAGTCGAAGCCCATGCAACAGCTGATGGTAGGACAGCAACAAGTTGGCGGGGATCATCATGGGTTGTTGTTAATGGGACCCACCACCACCACTATGGATCATCAACATCTCCACCATAGGAAATTTGCCACCGGGAAGCCTGAGCGACCCTCGCCGCCGGCTAGGGCTCCCACCATGTAGTTACCGCTTATGCCAGCCAGCTAGAAGCACTCCTGCCTACCTATCCAGCTACATTCACCATACGTGTCCGTTAGCAAGCCATCTTTGGGCGGATCGAGTTTTTTTCTTTCCTTTTTCATCTTTGATTTATCTATAGCTATTTACTTATCACAAATTATATATGTCTTTTCATATTTATATATATAAAGAGATACCGATCGAGAGAGGCGCATGCAGCTAGCTAGTATCCCATATAAAGAAGATATTGATATGATTTGAATCTGATTATTTACCGTCGAATGGAAGTTATGGGGTCTTTCTGTACCCTATCCGCTCTCACGGTGTATGAGGTTATACACATTTGGATTTATATTCTGGGTCTAGTCGGTAACCTTATCATTTATCAAATTGTATTAGAGATAGGCCATTTGAAGAAGTGCTATATATACTAGGGGTGGCTATACGGTCCGGTCCGGTTAAATTGGCCCAAATTGATTCGGTCCAGTCCGGTTTTTTTGAGAATATAAGGACCGAAGATTGGATTGGATACAGTCCGGTCTTGATCCGGTCCGGTCTTGACCCGGTCCGGTCCCAATTCGGTCTTGATTTTATATTGAGATTGTGGGAATTTGAGTGGCCTAAGGCCTAAAAGGGTGAGGAGTTGGTTAAGTTTTGTACTAAGTGTAAAGGTTTGTGACCGTTTATGCAAATTACCCTTAAGTTTTGGGTGTTGAGCTCTCTTATCCGGTCTTTATCCGGTTTTTTACCTCAAATCTAAGCCCAAAGATTGGATTGGATTGTTTACTATCCGGTCCCGGTCCGATCTCGGTCCGGGTTATACGGTCCGGTTTCCGGTTTTTCATCCGGTCCCGGTCCAAATAGCCAGCCCTAATATATACTTCTCAATCGCTCTGTAACCTGTATCTCCTCAAGTATAGTGAAAATAACTCTCCTGCCCATGGATTAGCTCACACACATTGCGTTAGTGAATTATATAAATATGTGTGTTCTTTACCTTTTTATCTTAATTATTGTCGATTTTTCATTCCAATTTAACCGATTTTACTTATATAATTTTTTTTTGAAATTAGTTAGAGACTACATATGAAAGCTGAATGGATTTAACTTGGAGCTGAGCTGAGCTGAGATGGGAAGCAAGCAAGAAAGAATTATAAAGATGACTAATTGGATTTTATGAAATGATCTATAATCAGGTGAGCTTGCATGCTTAAGGATTGAATACATCGTAGTAGTAGTAGCGGCGTAGTAGTAAATAAAATGGACTATATGTATATGTTGTTGACAAAAATAGATACAGGAATCAATGGCGATGTCATGTGGCAGCTGAGGTGCGGACTAATTAGTGTGAAAAAGGACAAATCCAAAAGTAGTCTACTAGTCGCTAGTGTTATATAGAATGCGTGCATGCAACAAGCTATATATAAGTAAATATATTATATATATATAAATGAATGCATAGACATAGGCATTGGCATTGGCATAGATGCATAAGGTAAGGCGTGCAATATAATGATAGATATCTCTGTCTGATCATTCTTCTATCTGTGAATATAATTAATAATAATCCTCCGATCGATGTGCGTGATGATCCGGTTATGGCGATTGGAAAATGTCGGAGGGAGGGATGAAGTGGTCTCGAGAAAGGCCAGGGACGTTAAAGACGACGTCATCAATCCGCCAGAGCTCCTCCATCCGGGTCCTGCTGTGCTGCACCGACTGCTCCTCGAAGCGGAACACCGTGGCCACAGACCTCCCTTCGTGGGCGATCATCACACCCTCAACTTCCCTGTAATCCCCGATTCGGCTCCCTATCGTCGTCTCCCAGTACACATATCTCTCTTCTTCTGCTTCCACTTCCACTTCCATTTCGTCATCATTGATCCTCCTGTGGGTACAACAGTAGTTGGCGCCTGTGACGGCCACTCGGGTCAGATGGGAGTCCTCCAGGTAGACGAGTAGGCCGCTCTTTTGGGAGAAGTATCCGTACAAGACGTGGCGCAGCACTTCGGCTGGGCCTTCGCTTCTTTCCGCCACTGCAGCACGCTCTGCCGCCACCTTGAGCACGAAGCAGTCGTCTTCCCCTATTCTTTGCTCTCCCACCCATTCTGCTCCCGCGAATACCCTCCCCGTGCTCTTCGGGTTCAGGCCCTGCATTCGTCCAAGCCCAACATTCATTCTTGTCAGTTGTCACCACATAACAGAAGCCCAGCCCATATATACAAGGCCCAAATAAGCAAAATTTAGCCTCCTCCCTCGATCAGGGTTTTATCAATTTGTAGTCTCCATGGGCCTGAATTATGAAGATTGGGAGGAAAACAAGCAGAGAAGGCCCATTTGCTAAAATGGATCATAGACTGACTCACTACTCTTTACGGACATGTAGACCGAATACTTTGAATTCAAATTCAATGATGATATATATGACGTGGAAAGTTGCAAAAGAGATGGAGGGAGAAAAGAAGAGATAGAATAAGGTAGAACATGATTGTAAAGGGAAAGCAAGCAAAGCAATATGGATGAGATATTCCATCTCATCAGTCATCGGCATTCGGCAGGCAGGCAGTCACCCACCCACCCCCACTCACTCCAACCAACGTTACGCTACGCAGCAGGCCTTAGTTTTAGTTTTCTAATAAAGGGAAGGGAAGGAAAGGGAAGGCGGAGCAGACAGTTTGTCCAAGACAGATCTCTCAGCTGCAAGCAACCATTCCTTTCGTTTCCTTTCCTTGGGATTCTCAACTCCTCACGTTAATGAGGCTAGTAGTGTAGTGCCGCTCAATCTGCTTTTTGTTCCTCCACTTTATTTTGCTTTTTTTGCGCGTTTGAAAAATCCAACATCCCCTTGGCCTGCTTTAATTATTCTTTTCATTCCTTTTTGTTCCTCTAAGTAGTAATTAATTAATTAATTACCCATCGTGGCCGGTAGAGAATTGGAGAAACGTTACGTAGGTACCTGGATGATGCGACGGAGAGGGCGCTGAGGACCCTTGGCAGCATGGGTCCCCAGCCAGGGAGTGTGTCTCCACACGGTGTTGCCGTCGCTACCGGCAACCACATGGTGCTTGTAGCTCCTCCGCGGGCAGCCGCCTTTTGCAGAAGCTGATCCCAGCTGCCCGACAGCAAGTTCGAGTGACCACATAGGAGGAGAAGAAGAAGAACAAGGGTGGAGCATTTGCCAGAGGACAAAGCAACCCTCTTCCACGGCGCTCTTCCCTCCCAAGCACTTGACGCCCTTCCCGGACGAGACCTCCGTCTCGCACCGAATCATCTTCACGCTCCCAGCCACGTACATGTTGTCGTTCATCATCCTCCTCTTGCTACCCCTACTGCATCCAGTCGCCGCCAAATATTGCTGTATTATGTATCTCGCCATTGATTTCTCCTGCGCGGCCAATCCATTCATTCGTTGGAATTAGCTACTCATAATTAATTTCTCGTTAACTAACTAACTAACAAGTGTCCAGTAATTTAAGGGCTAAGCGAAACAAGCAGGTCTGGATCGGAGTTATAGTTATAGTTATAGTTAGAGGGGACTCACAATTGGGATGTTGTCTTTGATCATGTGAACCCTCCGGACAGCGCCTAGTACTCGTGACGGATGATTCTCCTCCTCATCGTCGTAATTGGGAAGATGATGATTAGGAGGCGGTGGGATGGGAATGGGGGCCAAGGGACACCCCAGCACTCCAAGCAATAGCCTCAAGTCTTGTGTGCTTTTGGCTGATTTAAGCTGCTTTTTCCGCCCCACTCCAACATTCAGTTCTGGGGAGATAACATGATGCTTATTATGGTACTTGCTGCTGGCGTCGGTGCGGAACCATTCCCTAATGATTTCCCAGTTAGAAATGACATTATTGCTGCTGCTGCTGCTGCTGCTGCTCTCCTTCTCCAGCTTTGAGTTGTTGTTGTCGGCTGCTGCTTCATATTGCTGCTCTTGCATGTCTGGGTCGGGTCCTTCCATCAGTGGCGTCAAGGGTTGAACGGCGCACCATCGTTGCTTCATGTTACTATTCCCCCGCTGCTGCCCCGACCATGATCTTGATCCCATCTCTCTCCTCGCCTGCTGCACCCTGATACTTCCAATAATTTGAATGACGATGATAAAGAAACTGCTGCTGCTGATCCTACATTTATAATATTATCACATCTACCCACCACGCCTCTCAATTGGACACTGGGAGACTTTTCATCTAGATATAGAGAGTGTTTCGAGGAGTTTTCATCATTTAGAAATAATAATATTGCTTGAGACAAAAAGGCGGACGCATCATTAATTAAGAAACATTTCTCTGTATATATGTGGTTGCGGAGGGAGCCAGATGAAGACACTGGCAGGGGGAGAAAGACACAGAAAGTGACTGCTTATCCGGTCTCGTCTCTCGTTTCAATGAATTATTAATATGCTTAAGTTTAAGAGTTTGAATTATTATTCATTAGTAGCTCTCACACTTCTCCAAGTGCAAGTGAGAAAGTTCCAAGTTCTTCTTTTACACCATTCTTCATTCTACAACCTTTATGTTTAGTTATTGTTTGCTAGATTTTCGTCTATGACCTTTTGCACAAATCATCGCATTTGTTAATTTATAATAATAATAATAGATAAAAACCTAAGTTTGAGTTACTATTCATTAGTGGCTCTCACACTCTTCCAAGTGCAAGTGGAGAAGTTCCAAGTTCTTCCTTTACCCCACAATCCATTCTACAATCTTTATGTTTAGTTATTGTTCGCTAGGTTTTCGTCTATGGTTTTTTGCACAAATCATCGCCTTTGTTAATTTATAATAATAATATAATATAATATATAATAATAATATATAAAAGCCTAGGTTTGAGTTACTATTCATTAGTGGCTCTCACACTCCTCCAAGTGCAAGTGGAGAAGTTCCAAGTTCTTCTTTTACCCCACTCTCCATTCTACAACATTTATGTTTAGTTATTGTTCGCTAGGTTTTCGTCTATGTCTTTTTGCACAAATCATCGTTTTTGTGTTTTGTTATTGTCCGCTAGGTTTTCGTCTATGGTTTTTTGCACAAATCATCGCCTTTGTTACTTTAAAATATAAAAGCCTAGGTTTGAGTTGCTATTCATTAGTGGCTCTCACACTCCTCCAAGTGCAAGTGGAGAAGTTCCAAGTTCTTCTTTTACCCCACTCTCCATTCTACAACCTTTATGACAAACACGTTGCCAGACTTAGCCATTTTCAGGCAGTTTCCCAGTTTTGGCATAGCCTTTTGGTCAGGTTCAAAAATCGTCTTCTGGACTTTCTATTGAGCTCCCAAGTACTTTAATGTGTAGAGGGACACTTCAGCTTCAAAACAAGCCTTTAATCTCCAATTTCCATCTAGCCAATTGTAAAATATGAATCTCCAAAGTAGGCACCATGAAACTGTTTTTACACTGAAACAACAGATTAGGTCGACCTGATCCTATATGAGGTCGACCGAAAAGTGCATGTCACCGTGACATGCATGTCACTGTAGCAAAGTCCTAAAAAGTAATTCTGATAGTTTTTAAGCTAAACACTCAACAGTTTTTAAAAAATACATTCTACAAAAATTACAGTAGGAACAATTACTTACCATACAAATTGAAACGTCATGAAAGAAGTTTAAACATAAATAATATATTCGACGACCCTTCTACCTTATGCAAGTTCATCGATCATATATGTTGTTGTAAATAACAAACCTATGGAAAAAATGAAATAAGATTACTCTCACTTTTTGGTTAACATTAAAATTATTACTCTTCAAAATATTTATTTTTCTAATACGCGATACGTTAGCGAGCAGACTTTTACTAGTATTAATTAATATAAGAAAGAAAGAGCTCATACTATGAATATATTATTATTCCTAAGAGTTTAATTAATAAAGCACTTGCACGCAGCAGTGCAGTCTAATTATACAAATAAATTAACACAAAGCGCTCACAACTTCCCAATTGTGCGTTAATCAATCGCCACTGCTCTCGATCTAGTTTCTTACCCTCTATCCTGCCAGAAAAGAAAGAAAAAGAAAAATGGATAATTGATTATTACGCGTGCTGCATATAATATATATGATCAGGGTTTATAATTTATATATAGTTCCCATTGGCCATTATCTTAAACAAGTTGGATGACCATTTATGTATGTACCTAGCGGGTAATGTATCCTAATTGTTGGGGGGCCGGCGCCGGCGGATATTGCTATATTTCAAGGTCGAGAGTTGGCACATCAATGAGGTGGAGAGGCCATATCAATATCAATGATGAGCAAGTTTGATCTCAATGACATAGTGTGTCAAATATTTGGTTATGGAACCTTTATTTTATTTATGTTTCTCTTATTTATAGTTATTAGGTGTAACTGCCTTTTTATAACCGCTCCTTTACTTGTTGGTCTTTAATGTAGCTCGCTTGACGCCCTTGCTTCCAGGCATACCACTTGATACCTTGACACCTTTAGACCATCTCCAACAACCAAATGCCAAAATGCTAGAATGCCATTTTTTTGACATTTTGGCACTCAAAAAGTGGTTTTTGCTCCAACAAGCAAAACCAAAATGCTAGAATGCCAAATCTTCTCCTTTAGTGATAATCTAGTTCAGTGTAGATTTCATTACTTGAATTAGATAATTTGTAGATTGTTTGTATACAGGTAGTAATAATTAATTAAGACGAACGTTTCGATAATTTTTTTTAATTTTGACATAAAAAATTATTGTTAAATATGATGTCATTAATGGCGAAATCACAATATTTTGTTGGGAAGAAGATATAATTGAATTTTTTTTTTAATTTATGAGAATAGGAGAAGAAATTGGAAGAGATAAATTAGTTGAAGTGAAGAAACATAGTATATTTATAGAGAAAGTTGAGAAAAAGAGCTGTTAGAGGCTAATAGAGCAATTTGAATTTAATTGAAGGACTGAAACTGAATTTTTTTTTGTCTTCCCAACGGTTAGAAATGAAACCCGACGCGCGCGGGGGGAGTGCGTCGGTTTGAAGGAGGGGGGGGGGGATTTTGAGCCAACTTTTGACATTCCTTGTCTTATTCAATTTGGTATTTGACAAAAAATTCTAGGATTTTGGGCATTTTAGCATTTCCAATAGCTTGTTGAAGGAGCTTTTTTGGTATTTTTGGCATTTTGAGTGAGTTGTTGGAGATGGTCTTATGACTTCACTTGATAGTAAGACCCTTGTGCCATGGAGATGTCTTGTTTGGTGGCTTGTCTCATACCCTACTAGGTATGCTTGTGTCTTGCATGTTTGGTTTGGCGTGAGGTGACGACTACTTAGTTGAGTGACTCATGCCTTGCGCCTAGTTAGTGTATCACGCTCGACGGGCGAAGGTTTCACCCTTAGTGGATGTAATGATGACCACATTTTTCTCAAAGTACCTTGATATTTGATGCCCTAGTGTTACTCATGATGACCATTTTTGCATGACGTCATGCTTGTAGGGTCTTGATAAGGTGGTATACCATGTGATGATATACATGACGGACACTTAGAAACTTTATGAGTGGACCCAAGGTCTTAGATATCTAAATCATAGAGTCTAACTCTAAGATTTGTGCATGTAATTTTTTGCATATATTTAGACAAATCATGACTGTTGATTTTTGTTTCTAATTAAATTGATCTTATTGTTTGAGATTTATAGAATTAAGACCTAGATTTTTGTATTTAAAAGTTTGGGAATACCAGAATAGTACCTGATGCCAAACTCTGGTCAATTCAATGTCTAGCTATCACCCATATATATGAGTCATACTGGTGTACTCCTGAAGTATAGTATACTCCACGTACTCATAATGAGATATCACTATTTAGATCATGAATTAAATCGAGTTTGGGTGTTGATACTATATCATAACCTCTAATGGATACCCAAATCCAAAGTTCACTTTAATGGAAACTAATAATTAACCGTTGAGATTGATTGGAGCTTATTGAAGTACGTCTAACGGCCAGATCACCTAGAGTATACTATACTCTTGGAGTATACTCATTTCTCTCTGCTCCTCCTATTTGCTAGCACACTTCAAAAACTGCTTAAACTTATAAGTTTAAGCATATGACCGAATGTTTTCAATGGTTAAGAAGCCCACAATCGCATTCATTTATAGTTTTTGTATTAACTAATTTTTTTCCCTTCATTTCATATGATTCATGATGATAGTCCACAATCGTATTCATTTGGCACATGCAATTAGAGTAAGGTTAAATTGAAATGAGCCCATGTTAGATGGATCAAGAAACACACTACTGAAGTAACTGAACGTCTGAACCTAGTGAGTGGTGGTCCAGTAGATCAACAAAAGACGATCCCTTCCCTTGTTTTATGTTTATTTATCGTTCACTCTCACACTAAGCAAAAGTATTACAATACAATGACAACATGTATAAACATACATCTATGTTTTTTAAATCCAATATCAATTCATTTATATATATGTGTAACAAAAATTGGAAGATGAGAATAGAAATAACAGAACAGTAGATTGATTGTTAGCTTTAGTTTGCATTAGTTAACAAAAAAAAAAGAAAAAATCATATCCAATATTATTAACTTCCTGTCCTGCATGCTTGGGCTGGATCCCAATAATGGTCAATTAATGTTGATATTTTTCATTAATGAGAGATTTAATTAGTTGCCATTAGTCAAAAGTATTCAAAATCTATATATGAAGAGTCATCGTCTGTGGGGCTGACGTGTCCGTTGTGCTTGTGATGTCCTTGGGAGTGTGCTGGGGTTGCGGTCTTGTTTTCTGCAGCAAAAACAGATGGAGAAGCAGAAGCAGAAGCAGTTGGGTGTGGCGTAGCGGAGGAAGAGGAGGAGGGTTGCGGTGGGGGTGGCTCTTTGCTAGCGTACTGAGAGAAGTCGACGGGTTCAGGGACGTGGGGAGGGGCAAGGCTCCTGACTAGAGCCCAGTTGAGTCCTTCGAAGAAAGGATGTTGCTTGATCTCGGTGGCCCCACGCTTGTAGGCAATCCGCTTGTGTGGCTCTTTCACAAGGAGTCCCCGGATGAGGTCTCGGGCCGGATAGCTGACCTGTGGGCTGTCCGGGAACCTCAAGGGCTGGCCCACCACGTTGTACAATGTGGCCCTGTTTCCTGAGCCTTTGAAAGGGGTGGTCCCGTGGAGGAGCTCATAGAGGAATATCCCAAAAGTCCACCAGTCAACTGCGCTTCCGTGGCCTTCTCCTCGTATGATCTCTGGGGCGAGGTACTCGTGGGTCCCGACGAAGGACATGGATCTCACGTTGGTGGGCTCCGCCATCAGCTCCGGGAGGGACCCACCCACAAAGAGTCCAAAGTCCGACTTGGACTTGCGGTTCTTTTTGCTAGGGAGGATGGAGCGAGGGAAGAAGGTGGAGGGTTGGATGCAGCCGTGGACCGCGAACTCCTCGTCTAGAATGGCCCCCCCGCCGCTGCCAAAGGCATTGGCCGAGGATCCCACACTGCCAGCGAGCACGGCAGGTCCTCCTGAGGTGGCGGCTGACGTACCAGAGGATGAGCCGCCGCCGCCGCCGCTGACGGAGGAGGATTTGACGAGGGTGGGATTGACGGAGCAGCGGAGAGACAGGTCAAAGTCGGAGAGCATAATGTGTCCTTCATCTCGGACAAGTACATTCTCAGGCTTGAGGTCGCGGTAGACGATGCCAAGCATGTGGAGGTACTCGAGCGCGAGGAGGACCTCAGAGGCGTAGAAGCGGGCAGCATCCTCAGAGAAGTACTTGGTGGGTTGTTTCTGGCGGAGAGAGTGGAGGTTGCCACCGCTGCAGAACTCCATGACGAGGCAGTAGAACTTGTCAGTCTCGAAGTAGGAGTAGAGTGTTGGGAGGAAAGGGTGGTCGAGGAGCCCAAGGATCTCCCTTTCGGTCTGGGCGCGGAGGAGCTTGTTGCGACTGGCAAGGGAGGCCTTGTCCATCACCTTCATGGCGAAGTGGCTGGTGGTGCCACGGAGCTCTACCAGGTAGACGCTGCCGATGTCACCGTACCCAAGACGCTTGAGGAGGCGGAAGTTGCTAAGACCCATGGCGCCTCGGGAGCTCACCACGGTGTTGATGGAGTCCCACCTGCTGTCCCCACCAGTGTGTGGCTTCAAAGATGCGTTGTTGGTAACACTGCTGGTCATGGATGATGAGCTATCTATGCTGTCGTTTCGGCTGTTGCTGGTACTTGCAGCAGTACCGCTACTAGTACTACTACTTGTGGTGGTTGTAGGAGGCCTTGTTGCACTTGTAGATGGGAGCAGCCGCTGATTGTTGTTGCTGTTGATAATATTGTTGTGCATGATGACGTTGTTGCTATTATTAGTACGGGGATTTGACTTGTTGGCGTCGCTACTTTTTGTTGCGAATGCGCTAGTAGTGTGATAGTGTTGATGATGGTGGTTAGGGTTGGAGTCGTAGCTGCTGCTGGTGGGAGCTGCTGCATCCATCCTTCTGAATCACATGGCGTCTCTACGATATATTAACTTTGTTGTAAAAATCACCTGCACACATGCATTGTTTATTTTTTCGTCTTGCCCACAACCACAATATAGTTTGTATTTCGTAAGACGCTTATGCAAGCATGTATAATCAACACATTCATGAGATATTTTGTATTTCATTACTCTGATCATGATCATGATGAACATATGTACTCATCAATTATATATGCATCGTGTGTATGCAGGTAATTATTTGGTATACATATATATAGTATAGGCAGGTACTGCGGCCCAGATATAATGAATTAATTAGTATGAATTCAACTAAACAATACCATCCCATGAATCTAACTATTTACCTCCATGCATGCATATACACATGAAATTATAACGTGTATGCTGGCACGTACAGTGCAAGTGCAAGACATGAAAATGCAATTTCATCGATAGAATTATTTAATTAAGAAAACTACTGGGATCATAAATGCGACAACATTATCGATCAAGCTGGGATCAGAAAGGGAAACATAAGAAGAAGAAAGAAAAAAAAAAGAAAAAGGAAGAGTGAGTGACTGTGTGAGAGAAAGGTGACGATGGGGAATTTCTTACAAATAAATTAAATTAATCAAGGTCCCGCCCGTTTCTCTCCGGCCCTTCCATTTAGAATCTGGAGATTACGTAAAGGACAAGCAGATCGTGGAAGAGGAGGTAGCGGCTAATTAATTAATGATATACGAAGATCATCCATATATCATATATGCATGCATCATCACAGGCACTGCTATAACCTCATCAGGATGTCTGCCGCGGAGGGATGATTGATTGTTTGGGTTTGTGTTTGTTTGTTTTTTGTTAATTAGGTTTTGGGGAATGGTGTTTGGCATATGCCTTTCCAGGAAAGTCAGGGGAGATTTTTGTGGCGATACCAACAATCCTTACGCATTAGCTCATCACTAAATTATGCCAACTTAACATAAAGCAAATTAAAGAAAGTCTCCCAAAATCCATGCATGACAAATTAAATATTTGCCAAATAAAGTCTAGTGTGTAACAAAAATACTACATTCCGTGGAGGGAGAGAGGGCAATTGACGACGAAAGGAAGAGAAGTGGTCGTCCCTTGGCCCTCCTATTAACAAGGACCCGATAAAACTGCATCTTCTCCCAACACTGTCATTGCGTGTGTGTGGAGATCGATAGGTGATTATTAGGAGCGACCCCATGATATTTTGAAATATATATGATTTCAACATATTGTTCGATTGATTTTTTTTTAATAATATTGATCGATTGGTTTTCAATCACTCACGATTCCAAGATTTTATTTAATTATACCGTAAAAATTACTTAAATCACTTATAATTTTACATTTGTTCCATCATCTTTTAGTTTTAATGCAATGTAGTTGTATAAGAACCTACATCTACAAAGTAGTTCGACCTCACTTATCATATCATACCTTCTATTTTATAGAGTAGCGTAAAATAGAAGGTATGATATCAAAGTGACCAAATGGGCCGGGTCAACTTACCCTTCCTGCTTCGATGATGCGATTTTAAATATCAAAGTGACAATGCTAGGATGTCCTAGGGTCGTATTACACAAGATCTTCTAATGCATAATTACTCACCATACCATTCATGACTCACACGAAAACAAGAGAAGCATTTAGGGGTTTACATTCGACTAACAAGCAAGAATAAGAGTTTTCATACCACATTAATATGCAAGAACATCATACCACTTAATCCAAGCATCAACTACTAACTATGCCTTAGAGTTCAAAACTATAGGGTGAATCTATTGATAAACATTTAAACTTTGAATGTATTCTACAATCAACTTGACATTTCTTTAAGCACTTTGCCTTATTCAGGCTCATACTCTTTTTTCTTATTTTTGAATTTTCTTGCAAACAACTAGTTTTTTCTTTTCTTGGGGTTTCTCATGGTGGGGAGTTCATTTTGAACTTTACTCTTATTGGTCAAACAATAGCTTAGAGCTCCTATACCTCAACTCATGTGGAGGGTCAATGAAGTTCAGGGGTGTCGGAAGCTCTATTAGTGCCCTTAAAAAAACATTCTGAAGTTGGAAATCAATTCGACAGGTGTAAATTTTACTAAAGAGGAACTGATATCACCTTGTAGGACTTTCCCACTAAAACTCAACTAGTATCTCTTCCATAACCAGATTTACTGCAATTAAAAGATGCCTCACAAATTGAACTTAAACTTATCCCACACTTTATTTTTAAGCTAGTATGGCAAATCTTCGAATGAAAATAATGTCTTGATGGGTATAATTTTTTTGGATTTTTCTAAAGATACAATTCACCCTTTGATTTTTTTTGAAAGCACGAGACTCTTTTGCAAAACTCGGAAATCTTTGAATAGATTAAATAACATGGCATTCAAACACATCAAATGATTATAACATTCCATCGACTATCGCATTCTTCATAGCCACTATGGTATCCTCCCTAAATCAAGTGATGATTAATTACTAGACTCATTGATTCAGAGTAAGATGAGAAGTGATCATGCTTGTAGGGGATGACTAAAGTTATTTGATGGAAAACATTTTTAGTTCTTTCAAATTCATTTAAGCACATATCATAACCATTGTAACATTGAAAAAAATTCAAATTCTCAAATTTTAAACAACTAATCATTTAGCAAGTAATAAGAATATCAAGGTAAAACATATCAACCAGTCCCACTACACACTTTAAAATTGACATTGTACTCAAATGGATTAAAAGATAGTGAGTGATTGGAATAAGTTACCTTGATTCTTGTTCATAATTCAAATTCATCATTTATAGTAGCTAGTTCTTCAAGATTGTTTTGAAGAGACTTGAAATGTCAAACAAAAGAAAATTAAAGGGAAGGGTTTCCTAAAATCTAAAAATCCTACATGTTGAGTCCTTCTTGTGGTGGTCCACTTCTTGGGAAGAGGGTCATGAAAGATCTATCAAAGTCCTTCATCCATGAGTGGCTCCATTGATGCTCTATATCCTGTCTCTGGCGCCAAGATCGAGTCTCCTCAAGCTCCATTTGTTTCTCATGCTCAAGGTCATCCCAATGTTGCTCGTTCATAGTCTGGTAGTTGGTCAGGTTCTCCTCCTGCCTCACTATGGATTCTCTCAACTATGATAGCTGGAATCCATATTTGTCGTGTTAAGGTGGTGGTGGTGGGTGTCCAACTCCAAATCCATGCTCAAGTAGTCTCATTAAGTGCACAGTTGGTCTCCCTGACGCCGTCCACGCAGAGTATTGTGGGAAAGTATTGTTGGAAAGGTCCACTCTCTTGCTTGTCACCTGTCGACTCTAAAGGTTAAAGCGGTTGATGATAGATTGGTCCTTCCCTCGCCAAGGTGTCTCATAGACAAATCCATACTCCTCCCTATGTTCATCAATGTGCTGGGCTATGGTGTAGATATAGGCATATAGCCCCCTCTTGGAAGTCCTCATGGATAGGGCTGGTAATTGGTCAGTACCGGTATAACTAGTTATCGGTATACCGAAATGCCAAAATCTGTTGCTGACAACTGATACTGGGTAACTTCCGATATACTGACTAACTGGCTTGCATGTAAAGGTTACCGTTCAGGATATCGAACAACCGGTTTGACTTTCTCTCCTCTTGATGAATGGGGAAACTTCCAAGGCAAAGTAGCAGCTTCGACGGGTCTGTTGCAACAACTTCTTAAACTTCAAATCAAGGAAAAAATCTGATAGTAAGAAAGAGGCAATATCCAAGACCCATTCTCCATCTGCTAGCTCCCTAGAGCTGTTCACCAATGAATCCTTTGTAATCGGAGCAGTGGAAACTAGAAATGGAACCCAATTTTACGACGGCATGTGAAAACCATCATATCCCGACGACGGATCCGAATGTGGAATCGAGAGGGACTGAGAACCACCGCTTGAGAGAGACAGTATGGCGTCGAATCTTGCCTCAGAGGAAGAGAGAGTCACCGTGTGAGGGAGTTTACATGGCGCCGGATCTAGACTCAAGAAGGAGTGTGATTCGTCGTCAGCATGTTAGAATATGGAATCGAGATGGAATGAAAACCAACTCGCGAGGTAGTTTGCATGGCGCCAAATCTGGAATTGAGAGGGAGAGTGAGGGGCCGGATCGGGTTCTGGGTTCTCCACAATGACAACGACAGAGGAGTGGAGAAAAGTAGTGGTTGGCCAAGCGAATTTCAGATCAACAAATCAGCTATGAATTGGTGACCGTGTATCCCTCTAAAGATGACGAACCAGCAACAGCATGGTCCAGATCAACAAATCGAGAAAGAGATGAGAGGGTTTCGTACAAATCTCGCACAACGAGGTTCTGTTTATGGGTTAAGGGATATGGAGAGAAAGGAGAAAACATATCGAAGGATAGAGGAGGGGGCTTCACCTATATCGGTATACTCTGTATATCGAGTAACCGCCGGTTACTAACCAGTTATGGGTCGTATACCGACAACTGGGTTTTGTCTACCGTATAACGTTACTGTTGATTATTGATTTAACCGATAACCATCGGTAATAGTTAACCGGCTAACTGATTACCAGCCTACTCGTGGAGAAGGAATATATGTGTACCTCAATAGGTACACTACCAACAATGTTGGGTGCAACCACCAGTTGTTCAGCAAAGCATGATACAAGATCATGTCACTAATGGTCACCTTCCCAACATCTCCCTTCTGCCTCATGTTAAACCTGGTTTGACCAAAGTAGCACACCAACATGATGATTGGCAGCTGGATGATGGTCGATGAGGAGTATCTAGAATCAAACTTTTATCCTTGATCTCTTGTTATCATCTTCTAAAGCTTCCGGAAGATAGCCATCTGCATCGTGGGCTCCCAATAAGCTCCAAGGATGGCATTTAAGAGGGGTCATCTCCCATGGTAGGTCGGGATCCCTAGCTTCTCGGTGAAACTATTATAATTTTTAGTGAAGTGTCGTCCCACCAATCTGTAGGAGATGCACCTCTAGCTTGAGTCCCCTGTTGGACTCACTTAGGGATGGCAATGAGCCGGGTTGGGTTGGGTTTTGCCAAACTCGAACCCAAATTCATGGGTATATCTACCAACACGCTAGGTATCTGCTGGTTTATGGAAACCCATGGGTTATGTGATAAAAATGCACAATAACAAGTTCCTACCAAAATAAATGTCTAACATCATTCTTCCTATACAAATTATCTAAACAAAAAACACCAATCTAAAGCATACAAGCAAATCGCAAAGTATCCGTACAAATTGTACAACATTAAAGATAAACATCTATAAACATCATGATTAAATTAAAGCTTCTTCCTCCTTGTCAACTAAGCTTCTTCACTCTCCACTCCATAATATCCACTACATTTTACACAATTAGGGAAAAAAATTAGACATGTCTCCACAAACATAACGAAGATTAGTATGGGGGAATGCCCAATGGGAAGTGGGTAAGGGATTCGTCGTTGGCGACGTGTACTGGTGGGAGCGGGTTGGATATAGCTAAACCCAAACCCAACGCACAAAATAGTAAATGGGTTTAAAGTCGAACCCATCCCATAATCCGTCAATGCGGGTTTTATCCGCATTGAGCGGGTTGGGTCGAATAGGGTCCCCGTGGATAGGGATGGCAAAATTCGAACCCGCGTTGATGGGTTTTGGGCCGGGTTCGGGTTTAAACTCATTCACTATTCATCGGGTTGGGTTGAGTTGGGTTTAGGTATACCCGCCCCATGAATACCCGCCCGCACCCATATAATTAATTTTCCCAGTATATTTAATATTCTAAGCAACTAATATTCTTTATGTTTGTGGTGACATATTTAATTTTTTCTTTCTAATTGTGTAGAATGAAGTTGATATTATCGAGTGGAGAGTGAAGAAGTTTAATTGACAAGGAGGAAGAAGCTTTCAATTAATCATGTTGTTTATGGATAATTTGTGATTTGCTTCAATTTTCTTGAGTTTTTTAGTTGGTGTTGAACAGTTTGTATGGTTA